GAGGGGGGCCTATGGGAGGGTGCCATCTGGGAAATGGCGGTACAGTTGAATAAGATGGTTTGGGATGCTCTGTGTGATATACACACACACAAAATAAAAATCAACAAATTTTAAAAAAATGTATTCTATTTGAGGAGGAAGCATGGAAATTTATATCATGTTAATTAGAAGAGGTGATAAACATTACCACTGAAATGTACCCGATGACTTTATAGACATACACAGGCACCAGGGATCCAAGTACAACCGATTATGACTAGTAATAATCAGATACATACAGATTAGAGATGCATGTGCTAACATCTCAGTGTTAGTAGCAAAAACAATGAGTCTTTCTACAAGGAACAATATATTCTAAAATGAAATGGAGATCTTTTTTAAAGGTTAAAAACTCATTCAATTTTATGTCTTACAGGGCTTATACTGAGTTCAATATTGTATAACTGTATTAATTCAACTGTGAACCTAGAAACTTGCACCCACTTGTGAAAGAGATGTACTGTTGCTCTGGAGCGTGTTACTGAATATGTTAAAGCTGTAGTGAAATGCTTCTTTCTAATCACGTAGTTATTTGTTATTTTTTAAAAATTTTAGGTGCTTTTGAGACAGGGAACCCTGTAGCCCCAGCTGACCTGGAGCTTGATATGTAGACCAGGCTGGACTCGATCTCACAGAGATTCACCTGTCTCTGCCTCTTGAGTGCTCAGATTAAAGGTGTGCACCACCACACCCGGCTGGCAGCCAGTTTTATAAATCCCCATTCTTGAGTGAGTGCTCCTGGTGTTTTGGATGAAAATAAATAGCGGCTTGTTATTCAAGGCCCCTAAATGAGGCTACAACGAAGAGGATATGAAAATTTCCCAGAGAAAGCATCAGGTCTATGAAACGAGATGACTACAGATAACACAAGGCATTGTAGGATCTCTGTGCAAACATCCAGGCTGTGATACCTATCAACAGAGTGACCCTGTGCAAGTCACCTACCACTCACGGGACTGTACAATAAGAAAGGAATAATAAAAGCATTATGGTCTCATGACCATAAAGACAGTTTAGGACAGTGTGCGGTGCACAGTAAGCATTACCTGCTGTAATTGCTACTCTTTTAGAGTACACACACAGTGGTAAATGAAATTTGTGGTTGCATAAGTTATCATTTTTCTTTACCAAAATCATATTCTTACTTTTTGGGGGGGTCTTTTTTGAGACAGGGTCTCCCTGTAGTTCCAGCTGTCCTGGAACTCACTATGTAGACCAGGCTGGCCTTGAACTCAAAGAAATCCGCCTGCCTCTGCCTCCCGAGTGCTGGAATTAAAGGCGTGCGCCACCATGCCTGGCTATATTCTTACTTTTTAAAATTTATGGCACTGTAATCTATAATCTGTAAATGATCTATCCACTTGAAACATTTTTTCTTTTGTTACTGGGTTTTAAGATCCTAAACATGTTACATTTACTAGCCAGATTGTATTAAAGTCAATTCTTTTCAAACTGATCAGAAAATAAACAAGCATCGCATGCTAAATGGTTCATTTTTGGAAGAAACCATCAGCCTATTTCTCTTCACAAGCCAGTAAGCCCATCCCTGTAGCTGGTATGGAAAGGGTGTTCATTTGCTGCTGTTCAGTTTGTGGTACTTTAAGTCGCCCACAAGCACAGTACTGTACCATGCGCAGGAACAGAGGGAAGGCAGCCACAAGGAGCAGCACCAGTTTGGTGACTTTTGTCCATTTTCTGACAGTTCACTGAAACCCAGAAGAGAAAAACACCCATTCTTTGCTCCATGCAAATTTACAGAAACTACAGAGAAATCACGTCTCATAAAGGCACTGAACTTAAAGAGAATTCCATCAGTAAAACACTACTTCGTTACTGTTATTTATGCTCCAAAGTTTCATCACATTTCTAGAGAAAATTCCAAAGTTTTCTGTATGAGGGAGATGGAATCCTAGGCTCGGTCTCTAAAGCCGCAACTGGCATATTTCGCTAATAGAATTCTCTCCTATGTAATCAGGACTTGAAAATTTGACATCATAAGGAAGGGAGTGAAGTGCATACTAAAGTAGCTTCCTTTACCTTTAAGAATCAAGACCCAAATACAGAACCACAGATTTTTAAGCTCTGAAGGAACTGTGCTCCCAAGACATTTAAGAAATAGCAAAGATATTTTGAAGTTATCTTTCAAAGATCAGTCATCTGAACCATATTACTAAAGACAAGCAAAGGAAACTATGTCAGATATAAAAGCACAAAATTTGCAAGTCCATTTTATTTATAGTCATTTCTCATGAGAAATAATTTATAGTTGGTATTCTGTTTTGTTTTTGTGGTGCAGACAATCGAACCTAGGGTCTCAGGGGCTCTACCCAGCTTATAGTTATACAGATTCTGCTTTTGTTTGGTCTTAGTTTATTCTCTGTGTGTTAGTGGTGTACTATACCTCCACTAAGCTTTAACAAAGAGTAAAACACTTCTCATAAAAATGAAAGGGCCTATGACAACCTCAAAAGTTTGTGCCACACACATATAGCAAATACTTGATATTCAGGGCCCTCTGTATTCAGGAACAAATCTCTCTGTCCTCTGCTATGATGTGGCTTTTGCTCTTGCCATCATAAATGGAGCCAAGTCCAAAGGCACTGAAACTAGGCAACCATTTCAACTCAGTGTCCATTATTAAGTATCACTGAGGCTACCAAGTGGCAGACATGACTTGGTCCTGTGCTTACATAGTGTAATCAAAATGTACTTCTGGGGCTGGAGAGATGGCTCAGTGGTTGAAAGCAATGGCTGCTCTTGCAGAAGACCTGGGTTCAAATCCCAGCACCCACATGGCAGCTAACAACTGTCTGTAACTCTAGGTCCAGGGTTCATGGGCACCACATGACACACGACACAGGTACACTTACATACATGCAGGCATAACACTCATACACATAAAATAAAAATAAATCAATAATTGTTTTAAAGAAATTCACTTCTAATCCCCATGGGGCATGCGCTGAAGACATTTGTTTTATGAAACTAGGATTATATCATGAAATGCCACACTGCTTTTAAAAATGTGAACTTTTAGAAGAAGAAGTTTGGAGAAGAAATTAAGTTAAGAAGGATGAAAAGCTTTTAAAAAGAGAAGAAGCAGGAAGAGACAATAATTCACCACCAAAGAAAATATGCAGAGACAAACATCTGTGACCCAGCTCAAAATGCAGCTCCAGTCACTACAGATGTCAGCTGAATGTGAGGTCAGAACCAACGCCACTGAGGTCAGTTTCATGCTTGCCCGAACGTCCTCACACATTCTTTTGACTTTGTGATAGCATCAGGTCTTATCCTGTCCCTACAGTCGCCCCAATCCCCAGTCAGCTTGGAACTGTTCCATGAGCCTGAATATTATCCTATGTGTACTCACTGAGGCTCCTGTAAATGGATACCAGCCAGCCCTAAGGTTCTACAAAACCAGAAAAATCACCTTCCTATATCAGTTAGAAACTTCTTTTAATGATAAAAACATTCATCAAAAACAGAAGAATTCCCTACCTTGAACACATTGAGCTGCTGGTTAATTGCCTCTGTCTCCATCCCCACTGGGCCTTGGGACTCTTCATGTTCTTCAGCCCTCTGGAGCAGAGTACAGAATTCTTCCAGCTTGCTGTAGAACTCCTCAAGCCGCTCAATGGCACCTTCCACCTGCTCTTCTCTGGCTCTTGCTCGGTCTAGCAACTTGTTGCACTGTTTGCTCAAGGCCTCCAAGTCCCTTTTGATCCCGACAAGGTCAGGAGAGGTTTCTTCTGTGGCTAGCATCATCTTGCAGGTCTTATTTGCGTTGTCGTTGCTTGCTATGAGGGCTTCCAGTTTCTTCAGAAAGGTCTGTATCGACTCCTTTTGCTTTTGTAATGTTTCTGCATCTCTCCCAACTGGAGCCATACTATCCAGCTCATCATCAAACTCTGCAAACTGAGAAAACATTTCTCGGATGGTATTCTGGAAGTGCCCAATGCCCTGAAGCTTGGTTTCTAAGAAAGAACACTTTTCATCAATTTGCTGGCTTAGTGCACTATGCTCTTGAGCTAAGATTTCTGCTTGCAATAAAACATCAGAGGTTCCCTTTGAGTCTGAGGCTTCCACCACAAGGTCCTGTGCAAGTTTTTTTGCCAAATCTACCTGGGGCTTCAAGGTCTGAAGTGATTTCTGCTGAGTCTGCAACATGGTCAGGTATTTGTTACTGTGGGCCTGGGGTCCCAGGGAGTGATGGGCATCCAGTTGTTCCTTTGCACCCTGAAGTTGCCTTTCCGCTTCTTTGGAAACTTCCTGAAATTCTTTAAACTTCTGGGCCATGTTCTCCAGGGACAATTTCTTATTGTGGAGCTGTTCAGTGACCTTGTCTACCTTCTGAATCAATGACTTATTTTCATCTGTCACCACCTCCTTATCTACCTCACAGACACTGAGCAGGCTATTGGCTGTGTTGTTCAGTAATTCCACCATACCAAAGTGTTGGTCCATTTCCTTCTGCAGAGATTTTAATTCAGCAATGGAATTCTCTGTTTCAGCAGGATCCAAGCAAAACTTTACTCTGTCCAGGTTGTGCTGGCATTTGTCTATCCATGGCTGGAGAATTTCTGCCTGCTCTTTATACTTGAGGGCTTTGTCCAACGAATCTTTTAACTTGTCTTCTCTTGCTTTTACCTGCTTCTTAAAGCGATCCCAGTTGGTTTTAATTGTGTTAAGTTGTGACTGTAAGGCTGCTTTCTCAGTACCCTGTGTTTTTAATAAAAGGTTTTCACCTTCTGCAATAGTTTTCTCATACATACTAGACTGGGCAGTGAGAGTTTTGCTAAAGTCTTTCTGATCTTTAATTAATGACTCCAAGACAACTAGTTTGGCTGATATTGGGGGAGCGTTACATTGCTCTTCTCTCTTTGTGTCCAACCAGGCCTGAAAATCTCTAGACATTTGTTGAAATTGATGAGAGCTTGCACAAGCTGACTGAAGGTGCTGAACATGATTTTCTGAAAGTGAAATCACAAACATATTATTTTAACTCAAAATTTTAATGCTACCCATGAAAAAATAAAAATTTCCAAATGATGGTATACAACTGTTCAAAAGTAAAGACGTTTTGCACTGACTAAAAGACCTACAAGGGAACTTGAGAGTTATTGACAGAGGGATAAAAGAAGTTAGTTCAATAAGGTGCAGTCCAGGCAAGAAGACGGCCACTGGGGGACAACAAAGACTGCAGAAACAAACTGGGGTAAAGGGCAGTAGGCCCCAACCTTAGCCTAAGAATTACTGGCAGCTGATAACTACTGGGTGAGAGAGAGCTGATCTTTAAGGGAGTGACTCTACTAGATTCCAGTACATGAACTTGCACAGAAGGATGTCTGGTTACACTAATGACTCAATAGGACTTGACAGAATGCATGAAATCCGATTGGGTGGGGTGGGCTATGGGGGGGTACAGATAGGGGACAGAGTATAAAGATGATCAAGATGTTTTGCATGAAATGCACAAAAATTCAATAAAAAAGGACTCCAGAAACAGATAAAAATCATCAACGTGCAAGGTGTGGACACCATACTGGGTCTGTTTTGTGAGTGTCTTTTCCATGTTACTATGGCAATAGACAATAGCAACATTCTACTTTTATTTTAACAACCCATTTCTTATCAAATACAACGGTTTTCACTTCTATGATTTTTATAGACCATGGGGCTTAAAATTATTTGCCAGGTTCTTCCAAATGTGAGGAGGCTAAGCAAGGATATTGACCATGCAGATTCTTTGCTATATTATGTTGCCTCCATGCCCGCAAAGCAAGTCTGAAATGGTCGCTACACTCGACATAAAAATTGAGTCAATTAAAACACAAGTAAGGGACTGGAGAGGCGGCTGAGTGATTAAGAACTCTGGCTGCTCTCTGTAGAGGACCTGCGTTTGGTTCCCAGCAAACACATGGCCACTCATGACCATTTCTAACTTCAGTTCCAGGGGATCTGATGTTCTCCTCTGGCTTCTGTGGGCAGTACATTCTTGTGGTGCACTCACATGCAGGCAAAACTCCCATACACATAAAACAAAAACAAATAAATAAGTAAAAATGTAAAAAAAATTTAGAAATTTGCTAAGGGCAAGGCCTCAAAAATAGTGTTACTTTTGAAAGAAAAGAGGAGTAAAACATGCCCTTCTTTGGCAAGACCCTTCTGGGTTGCAATGATTAATTTCCTTCACTGTCTCTAATAAGTACCAACCCGTTTATCACAAGATTATTGCTACAGATGAGTGAGGAACACAGGGCAATAAAGAAAAATTTAAATTTCTTTAGAAAAGTATTCTGTGACAGAATAACATAAGGTCATAGTAGATGAGAAAATGGCCTTTTAAAGATATGCATCTGTTTTTCTGATGAAATAAGACAATGCCACACAGCAAAATGTCTCCATTTTTTATATGTATATTTTTTCATTTAAGGTTTATGGGTGTTTTGTCTGCATGTATGTAGGATCTACCACATGCATGTAATGCCCGTGGAGGCCAGAAGATGGCATCAGATCCACTGGAACTGGAGTTACAGATGACCGTCAGTCTCCAGGAGGGTATTGGGAACCAAACCTGGGTCTTCTTCAAGAGCTCCCATTGCTCTTAGCCACTGGGCCATCTCTCCAGCCCCCAAAAGGTCTACATGTTTTAAAAACCAATTTGCAATACCCAAAATTTAATGCATTTCCATTAAGTGGAGTTTTCCAGAAGAGCCTCTCTCTGAATTGTGCAGTTACTTGATTCCCACGGAGCTGAAGACTCACTTTCACCAAATGCCCAATGGTCTTTTTTGGGTTGAGTTATCACCAACAGTACAGAAACAGAAATACAGTATATCTATTTCTGACCAGGAAGTAAATATGTAAAAAGATGAACACACCTGTTTTTTGTTCAATATCCTTATATGATTTTAAGATGCCCTCCAGTTGCCTACTAAGTTCAGCTTTCAAGTATTCTTCTTTAACCAGTGCTGACAGGTCCTCACAGAGTGCCTGGGCCACTTTTATCTGCTTTGTTTCCTGCTCTATTTCCTGCTTCAGTTTTTGGGCCGTTTCCAGCTGCTGGGTCATAGCATCAGGGAGTGTGTTCACAGCTAGACTGCTGCTGAGTTTATTATCCAGCTCACTCAATGTGTTGGAAAGACTTCTCAGCAAGCTCTGATACTGTGTGCTTTTGACAATAGCCTGGTCAATCCAGTCACATCTGTCCCTCAATTGTCCTGTTAGGCTGTCCCACTTCTGGGTCACAGCTGTCAGTTGCTCTTTCACAAGCCCATGTAAAGAAGGGTCTTCCCTGGGTCTTCTCCGAATGCTCTGACCAGCTGCTGTTAGCTGCTCGTACTGAGGTTTCCGAGTGTCAAATTCTTGCAGCAGAATCTACGGTAACCATGGTACATAAAGTTTGGTGTAATTGTTATAGATAACATAGATTTAAGCATCCAAACAGAAATGAAGACATGTACTTATTTCTCTAGAGTTTCTTTTGATGTTTGTTTTATTTAACGCTTTTCTACTTTTTGAGGGCAAGAGCAATTATCTTAAACAAATTCAAAGGCCATAGTGTTTCACAGATAACAGCTTGTTTAAAATCATGCCATTTTCCTAAGAGGAAGAATAACAGAATAAATAGTAGCCAAAGCAAAAGGAACAAATGCTCTTGTGCAGTTTCCACACACAAGGAAACACTGCTGCTTCAAGAACACCACAGCTTTGCCTTGCCCTGCTCATGTCATTCTCTTTGTGCTTTTACTACCCCAGAACATTCTATATTTAAAAAAAAAAAAAAAAAAGCGCAATGCTAACTGTTAGACTACGTCGTGCTCAAGAGCTACTGACTTACCAAAGTTTTTTTTTTTTTTGAACATCAGCTGCACTGACATTTATAATTTTTATTATAAAAGTTTTAGACATAAAATCCTGCTGTTCAAAGCACAGAGGCTCATGATGAGTCTTATAAGTGGCCCCAAATGCCTTCCTTATTATGTATTTTATCTTTTATTTTACATTTAAAAATATTTTATTATTTTTATGTGTATGAGTGTATTGCCTGCATGTATGTAAGTGCACCCATGTTGTGCATTGCCTGCAGAGGCCAGAAGAGGGCACTGGGTCTTCTGGGACTGGAATACAGATGGTTGTTAGCCATGATGTGGGTGCTAGGAACTGAACCTGGGCCTTCTGAAGAGCAGCCAGTGCTCTTAACATCTGAGCCATCTCTCCTGGTCCTTATTTTACATTTATTTAGAGATGCTAAGACGACAGGCCAATACCTCTCCTGATACTTAATTCTTATCTTTTGTTTTCATTCTTTTTAGATTAAGAGCAGATACAAACCAGAACATGTAGCTCTGAAGTGCCAGAGGCTTATCTATATTTTTTGCTTAAAGGATCTTCCCCCTGTTTTGAGGTTCATAGCTAAAGAAATCTAACTAAAATAACAACAGAGCTTCTGCTATTCTGTGTGACTTAATTTTTGTGACTCTTTCTCCCTGTGGGTTTATCTGTTTTATACCTGACTTGTCTAATGTACTGGGGTTAGGAAGTTCCTTCTCTTCTTCCCTCTCTTCTTGTTCTTAGCTTCCTTTTACTCTATGTCCTGCTCAGGACTGTACTGCAGGAGATTTAGAAGTTCCAGTCAAAATGAATAAAATCTCAAAGGACAGTTTATGAACAAGAAAAAGTATACACTAGCTTCTCATAAAACTATTTCTTTTCTTTTCTTTTTTTTTTTCAGTCTTTTTGAGACAGGGTCTCCCTGTAGCCCCAGCTGTCCTGGAACTTACTATGTAGACCAGGCTGGCCTTGAACTCACAGAGATCCGCCTGCCTCTGCCTCCCGAGTGCTAGGATTAAAGGCGTGTGCCACCATGCCCGGCAAAACTATTTCTTAAGCAATCACATGAATACTTCAAAGTCCTTTTCTTAGCTGGTCTGCACCCGTCACAGGATGATGAACTAGAGCATCTGCCCCACACACTGGCTCAAGGAGAATGCCACAGCTGTAGCTCTCTAAAGCTTTAGAGGATTCTCATTAATCTCAGGAGGGTGTCAGGAACACCCAAACCATTACAAATGCATCCAAAGCAGGAAGACACATGCTGGCCACAGCTAGTGTATTTATAATGACATTTGTCCCGCTGTCAAGGGCTTGCATCTTAGCTGGGCTCTTAGTAACACTCACCTGTACTTGCTGCCTCTGTGTGTTCAACATATTTGGGTCAATGGACAAGGGTCCAAGAACACTGACCATCAGTTCTTTCTCCACAAGCCACTGTTTTAACTGGGCCTCTGTGGTCTGGAACTGGGTTAGATTGTTGGAGGACTCTTCTAGCTTTTGCTGTCTATCAACTGTCAACTGGTTGAGCTCTTGCCACTTAGTATCTAAAAGAGAAAAAAACCACAAGATTATCATTTGGTTTTTGTACATTTAATATTTAATATTGAGATTGGAAAACTATGATGTGATACAAAATGAAATATAATAGACATCATCATTCCTTTTTTTTTTTTCCCTTCACAGGTTTTGAACTCAGGGCCTTATGAATACTAGGCAAATACTTTACAACTAAGCTACATCTCTAGCCCTTGTTCCATTCTTATAACTCTTCTTACACAGTTAAAATTCTAACCTAAAAAAATTAATAATTGAATAGGTATTATGTATTAGATCGTGGGCCTGTCATTTTGAGATGCTGGTGACTAAGAGATCAGAGGCAGCCTGGAAAATCAGGCCATGCCCACCTGCAGTTTGTTCCTTGAGACTGAGGACTGACAGCCTCTACTGAGAGTACACAGATCTCAGCAGGGAAGGGGAGGGGGAAGCAATCCCAGGACCACACCCGGCAAGAAACCCTAATGTTTTAATTATTATTTTTTGTTGGGCTGCATTCATGGCTATCTTGGGGGAGCATCAATTATTGTATTCATCCCAAACTAGTATATATCCTGTTTTCTAGACGTCTTTCAAAAAGTCATCCTTTCTCCCATGTCACTACATTGGTAACAATTCAGAATAATGCTTTAGAAGCTTTTTTGTTTGTTTGGTCTTTTTGAGACAGGGTCTCCCTATGGCCCCAACTGGCCTGGATAAGGATTCACCCAAACAAGTTCATGCTCACATAGGGCCCTTAAGGAAATGGTTCACCTGCTCACCATAGCCTCTAGCTCCATCCTCCACTCCCAATCCCACTGATCTTTCCCTCTGCTAGGAACCCCTCCTGCTCTGTCCTCCATAGGACACACTTCCTGAGATGAAGCACTGGTGACCAGAACACTGAGGTCAGCACTTAAACCCATTCATTGCTCTGTAAACATTAACTAGTCACTGTGGCTGGTTTATTTGGGAAATTTTGTGTTTATATGTGTGTTTGAGTGGGTGCACTTTTGTGCACAAGTGTGTGGAGGCCAGAGGACAACCTCAGCTGATGTTCCTCGAGCCATCCTCTGTTTTTTTCTGTTTGTTTAGTTTTTCATTTTGAGAAAGGTCTCTCATTGGCCTGGTACTTGGCCAGAAAGCTGCACAAATCCACCTGTCTTTGCCTCTCCAGCATTAGGATAACAGGCTTATACTACATGGCTCAGCATTTTCACATGGGCTCTGGGAACTGAACTTGGGTCCTCTTGCTTGGGTGGCAGGTGAGCACTTTACTGACTGTTTCCCGAGGCCCAAGAGACTTTTTTCCTTTTTGGTCACGTGGCATAATATATTGAAGGGCTAACTTTAACAGAACACAACAGGTGAATCCTCATCTAAGGGCATCATTCTATATGGCATTTTGGTCCAAAAATAATCTGACACAGAGAGTTCAAGGCTAGCTGGGGCTACAAGGAGACCCTGTCTAAAAAAAAATCATAAGGCTAATAAAAAGAAAATAAACACTAATGAAAATATTACTCAATGAGTAGCATTTTATTATCAAGTATCCATCTTTTTCATAAAAAACAGTTGCATGCCAGGACTCAAAACCATGTATTGTGACATAATAATTTTAAGTATTAAAAAAAACAGGTTCTGAAACATTAATGAAAACCCCAAAGCAAATGAGACTACCAGGTGTCTCCTGAAGAAGATTATGACAATGATGAAAAATAACTGAGCATCTGTGAACTGTGACTCGAGTAACAACTTACCTATTTCTGTCAGCATCTGTTTCCACTTGGGGGCCTCAGGAGTATCTGGATTCTCCTTTACCAGCTCCATCAATTTGTCTTTTAATTCCTGCACTTTATTTACATTTTGTTTGAGTTCTGCCTCAAATGACTAACAAGGGAAAAATAAATAAAGTCACTCCACTAAAGTATGCCAACATCAAAAGATAAAAAAACACAATTATGCTAGAACATTTTTCCCATGCGGCATGACCAAAAGAGGGAAAGCCCCACTGTTAACTGCCGAAGTGGGTGAAGACCTAGACTATGCAGCTAGTTATTCTCCGGACCTTTCTCTGGTCACCTTCAACCGTGAGCCACAGACACCCCACAGGGGAACCCAGCAGTATGAAGATAATGACTGTTCCCATCATTGAAGAAGGATTTCACACCTTCACATTACTATGGGTAAAAGGAAGGTGGTATCAGTAAGGTTATAAATGATGAACAAATCAGCAGGAATTTGAGGCTCTACTTGGGAATTAAGCACACTACAGGTTGACAATCTGTATAAATTTTTGCCATCATTGCTACCACAGAAAACTATTTTCCCAGTGCTGACAGATACAGAAAAGGACAAACAGGGGCTTAATATACTTAGCCCTTAAATAAATCTTTACCAAGAGTTGACTAGTTAAAATTCCAGATTTAAGCTGATTTAAAGATAGCAAATTTACTTATACCTAACAGTTTGCTCCTTTTTATAATGTCAGAGGGCAGAAAAAAAAAAAACCCTATTAATTACCTCAGTCTACAAAAAAACTCTCAAGTTATTTGAAGGGTATAGAGAACAGAACAGAGCTCATGGCCACCAGGGCTTGCTCTTGAATGCTAGTCCAGTCTCTTCCTGTCTTCCCTTCATGCGCCCACAGACTACCTTATTCTGCTCAACCTGCGTCTTCACAGATTCAGTATCGGTTGGTGTTGGTGCTTGGTGCCATTTGTTTGCAGTTTTGTTCATTTTCTGTAACCACTGCATCATTGCACTGGATTCCTCCTGAGCCGTTTGTAACTTGGAGAGTTTGGTATTCAGTTCAGCTATTTTATCCTTGAGTAAGAGCCCAAGATCTTCATAGCTGTGGCTTATGTCAGTCATGTCCTTTTTAACAGATGTTAAACCTATGAGTAAGAAGGAAATTATGCTAACACATGCTGAGGGCATTTGGAGAAGTATAGAATTAAGCTTGTTTTATATGATTTTCCCTTCTGTCACCATTAAGCTCAGGATGGTAAGATACAGACTTTTTAGAATAGAAAGATCAAGTCATCTTATATGGCTATTTAATGACAATTCAGGAACTTTGCATATTAAAAGGGTATTGTAATGAAACTAAAAGCTCAAACCATTTCTTCCTCTTGAGTATGAAGCATTTAACTTGTTTTTGGTTTTTTACAGGAGCTCAGTTAAGAGACTTTGGATTATTTTGAAGAACTGAACATTTAAGTATTAGAAGTTTTAAGGACTGTGGAACTTTGAAAGTTGTACTATGTTTTATGCTGTGATATTAATATTAACATGAAATCTTGGGGACAAGAAATGGAAAGGTTATGGTTTAAGTATGATGTGTTTGTTATGTTGAAAAAAGATGAATTATGCTGGATAGTTTCAGTTATCAACCTGACACACTTGGGAAAAAGAAACCACAATAGAGGTATTATCTCCAGCAGATTACTGGTCATGTCTTTGAGGCATTTTCTTAATTGCTAATTTACGTGGGTGGGCCAGCCCACTGTGGGTGGTGCCACCCCTGGACAAGTGGTCCTGGGTTGTGTAAGAAAGCAGGCTGAGCACAGGACAGAGGTGCAAACCAGTAAACAGGTCTCCTCTGTGGTCTCAGATTCAGCCATTGCCTCCAGGATTCTGCCCTGCTTGAGTTCCTGCCTTGGCTGCCCTCAATGACGGATTGTGATCTGGACATTTAAGAAAAATAAAATAAACCCTTCCCCTTCCTCCTCTAAAGCTCAAACAATAAAATGTATCTCTTAAATACTGTGCTGGATAGCTTTAGTGTCAACTTGACACATCTGGGTTGAGGGAGCCTCAATTGGGGAATTGTCTCTATTGGACTGGCCTATGGCAATGTCTGTGGGGCATCTTCTTGATTGTTGAGTGATGTGAGAGGGTCTGGCCCACTGTGGGTGGTGCCACCCCTGGGCAGGTGGGCCTGTGTTGCATAAGAAAGCAGGCTGAGCAGGGGCCAGGGGAGCAAGTCAGTAAGCAGTGTTCCTCCATGGCCTGTGCTCTAGCTCCTGCTTCCAGGTTCCTGCCCTGAGTTCCTACCTTGGGCTCCCTGATGAACTGTGACCTGGGAGTTGTAAGCTGAATAAACCCTTTTCTCCTTAAGTTGGTATTGGTCAGAGTGTTTTGTCACAGTAGAGGAGCAACAGACAAGGAAAGAGACTGGTACCAAGAGTGGGGTATTGCTGTGACAGACCTGACCTTGGTTGTGTTTGGAAAGACTGTGGAAATGTTTGGAACTTTGGGCTGGAAAAGCTATTGCGTGCTCAGAGTTTGTTGCTGCGGAGCTTGGAACAGTTACGCTGAAAGAGTTGTAGACAATGGAGGCCTGGCTTGTGAAGCTTCAAAGGGAAGCGGAGACTATCAGGGCTATTCCTGTGATATTTTGAACTGAGAATCTGCGCGTTCTGGTCGGCTGGGGCTGAAGAATCAGCTGTGATTAAGAAGAGATCAGAACCTGAAATAAAACCTTTGCTTTACTGGGACAATTGATGCTGGTTAGCTGGGGCTGATAAATCAGCTGTAAGTAACAAGAGATCAGCATCACTGTGGTGGAGTCTTCTGGGAGTTATTTCCTCAGGATCAGCACAGAGAGGGGACCGGCACCTCTATTTCAAGCTGGAGGCAGGACTTGGTAATGTGTAAGAGTCTCCTGCATGGTTCTGGTGTTGAAAGCATGAAGGGGTCACAGAGAGCAGCTGAGGCTTGGTTCTCTGAGAGGCCAGGAAAGGCCATAGGTGAAAGTGCAGCTTCAGTTGCAGCAAAGACCCCAGGATTGAAGGGGTCATGGAGAGAATCTGAGGCTTTGCACCCCAAGAGGCAAGAAGAGGCCATTGGTGAAGGTGTAGCCTCAGTTTCGGTGGCAACCCCAGCTTTTTGGAGATGCCAGGACCATGGGACGACCACTATGGACAGTGGCAGGTATGGAATGGAGCTGGCCTGGGTCTGTGAGACGAGCT